TGGGTTTTGTTTTTTTTTTTTTTTCAATTTTGAAAAATTGGAAGAATTGCACATTTCGTTTTCCGAATTTTAAAGATACTCAAATACGCCAAATCTGGCAAATACATTCGATTAAATTTTTGATCAAAGTGGTCTGTGACTTTGAAGCTTAGATCAATTATGAATAATGTTGAGAAAATTTTAATTTCCTACTTTGCAAGAAGTTGAGCAAAAAAATCACAAAAACCAAAATTAAAATTGTTTTTTATAGATTTAGTGCAATTTTTTTCAATTTTGAAAAATCGAAAAAATTGCACATTTTGATTTGCGTCCTTTAAAATCGCAGAATCTGGCAATTTTTGAGAAATTTTGTTTTTTTACATAATTTAAAAAAATATAGGAATTAATTTTTTTTAAGTCAAACTAGACTACACTTTTTAATGCCTATTTGGGCTTTAAGTAATTAATTAAGTCATAATCGACTTTGACCAGAAATTTAATATACAGAGTGTTTTCTTATAATTGCGAAAAATTGCAACCACGTATTCTACATCGAAAAAAAAATAATAAATAAATAATATTCCTTTAAAGTTTGTTTAAGATATACAAGGTGTTAATGTTCTATAACAAAAATTAAAATCTATTAGTTTTTCTGAAACCACTTCAGTTATTTTCATAAAATTTTAAGCTATTAAAAGTGCTTATTTTCTGGAAATTACTTTATTTCTACTCTTACCATTGTAAGACCTTTTTTTTATTAATGTTCTTTTTTTGATGTAGAATACGTGGTTGCAACTTTTCGCAATATTATAGCATATTAATTTTTTACATATTTAAAAAAAAATATAGATCATAATTTGACAGCAAGGTGTCCAAAATGTGGTCCCCCAATTTAGCCCGGCAACAGATGTTATTTGTTTAAATAAAAAATTAATTCGCAAAAGCAGTGAAATAGTTTCGTTAACTGCTGTTTCAACCTCTCTCTAAATCCCCTTTTAGGGGCCATTTGTGTCCCAATCGCCGCCCCCATTGCCCGACATGCCTCAATCTGCTTTTTCATAGATTTTGTGGGATTTTTATCAATTTTGAAAAATCGGAGGAACTGCACATTTTGTTTTCCGAATTTTAGAGAGCCTTAAAACATAGTTTTCTAAACATAAATCGTAAAATCTGGCAATTTTTAAGAGATTTTGATTTTTTACATAATTTTAAAAAAATATAGGAACTAAAAATTTTAAGTCAAACTAGACGACACTTTTTAATGCCTCTTTGGGCTTTAAGAATTAGGTCAAATGCATGAAAGGCGGGTTTAACTAATTAATTAAGTCGTAATCGACTTTGACCAGAAATTTAATATACAGGGTGTTTTCTTATAATTGCGAAAAATTGCAACCACGTATTCTACATCGAAAAAAAAAATAAATAAATAATATTCTTTTAAAGTTTGTTAAAGATATACAAGGTGTTAATGTTCTATAACAAAAATTAAAATCTATTAGTTCTTCTGAAACCACTTTATTTTTACTCTTACCAGTGTAAGAGCTTTTTTTAATGTTATTTTTTGATGTAGAATACTCGTATGTGGTTGCAGCTTTTCTCAATATTATAGCATATTAATTTTTTACATATTAAAAAAAATATAGATCGTAATTTGACAGCAAGGTGTTCAAAATGTGGTTCCCCAATTTAGCCCGGCAACAGATGTTATTTGTTTAAATAAAAAATTAATTCGCAAAAGCAGTGAAATAGTTTCGTTAACTGCTGTTTCAACCTC